ACGCTGAGCAAAACTTTAAACGCAGTTAGAATTGGGAAAGACCTCTCCGAGCCATTTGGTGCCAAACGAGGTTTCAGACTCACCCTGCCTCTTTATCGTGTAAAGGATAAAATTACATTTTTTTAAATTTTTTTTTCTACTCCACAGAACTTTAGTTTTATCCACAGAGTCTGCAAATGTGTGACAATTCTAAAATCTAGCAAGGGTCGGTGAAAATATAAGGTAACTAATGAGTATTTGTAAAAATCAAATAGTTTACAATAAAATTTCCTAAATCGCTTGTGAGATGGACTAATACTATTTATATTGTTTAACAAGAGTCCTACCTCTTTTCAAGAAAATACAATTCTTCGAAATTGCACTTAACTATTGCCCAGGTGAAATAATTTTTCAAACACCCAAATGAACATACCACAGACATACATATGTAAATACTTTAAAGGAAAATATATTCGCAATCTTAATAATTTCGCAAATATATAGTACAGCTCGTAATATTTATATATTTATGTTGTCCACACTGTGTACATAGCAGTGTATATGTATATACGCACGCACATTTACATACAAACACCAATAAAATGTTTGTTGACCAGCTAACATAACAGTAATAGCGATTATCGATGCATAGGCGAATCCAGATTTTATCGGTTGAAGAACCGGCATTTTTCGAAGAGAAGCAGATGAAGTCATTTGCACTTGAGTCGAGAAATATTGTAGCAGGAAGCACTAATCTACAAACGCATGCGGCACTAATTCACTTAAACAGACAGAGACCCCGAAAATTGTTGATTGGCAGACTTTTGAACTGGCATACGCCTTATTCACATACATACAAATGTACATAAATATGTACGTATGCATTGTGCAAACACGCAATGTATGTACATATGTGTAAGTAAACATACTTTTAACATTCTATGGAGCTGTTGCTGCCATTTCTTTGGCTGACACATTCTTTTCTTACTTCTATAAATACATATAGCATATGCATTACACACATATTTACTTATACACACATATATATATATTATATACGATTATTATATATGCTCATACGGTGTATGTATATGTATCGCTTTCGTGCAAGACTTTAGCAATTTCATTGAGGTAGTGTCAGAGTAATTGAACTTACCTTCATCAGTCAGGTCATTTGGAGTAAAAAAGCACACGCACTCGCTCACTCAATACAAACGGACATGTCACGATGGTGATGATGGCAACTACGACGACGACGACAACGACGACAACGACAACGACAGAAACAATTCACTTGTTTAATGAAACACCATATGTCAATTAAAATTTAATCAACCGTATTGATTAATACACGCATATATGAACTGTTAAAGCTAAATGAAATGTATTATAATATAAATATACATATGTAAATCACGTCAGTCTAGGCGAATAGTCAAAAAAGGTTTGGCAGGACACTTGGGGCTGTCGGATGCAGTCACCATTTGTCACGAGGGCGCATGTATGCTGGCGCACTGCACTAAGCTAACAGTACTTTTCTATTAGACACTTCAATAACGACTGCTATTCTTACACGCGCCGAGGCGCCTCTCTTAGAGTAATAAACTTCGTTATGGTGTTGCTAACAAACCGTAATTTTACCCCTTATTAGGTTAGTTCTGTACAGTGCTTTTTGACAGCAGTTACCGTAAAAATTAAGTATACGTAGAGGCAGACTAAAACATAACTAAAAAAAAAAATAACAAATTTAATTTTAAAGCAATTAAATAATTTTCAAAGTATTGAAAATAAATCTTTAATGCAGTATAACGTGTAATTAACTTCAAAATTTTTTGGGACATTCTGTATCTTAATTTTAAACCGTTAAAATTTATGCCAACAAGTGTAAATGCGTTCTACAAATACCATGGGTTTAGTCAGTCCGGCATAGAAAGGTTTAAGAGCACACTTTGATCTGATAAGGTAGGAACCCCTGCCGGTTAGGGGCTCAAGAATTTGCCCGCGGTAAGGCATGCCTGTCGTAAGAGGCGACTAAAATACAATAATTCCCGGCGACTAAAATCCAATAGTTCCCGCGACAGTCGGGTCTTTATACCGGAACGACCCGGATTTTTATCCGGCCAAGGACTGTCACTCGCGCAATATTCCCCAAAAAGTACTTTGGGGAATAATTTTGCGGTTACAACAACAACAACAACATCTGATAAGGTAGGCATTACCATTATTATCAGCCCGAAATTAATTGCTAATTAAAAATTGTTTTTCATATTTGATCTACATATAGTACTTACACATATGTGTGTACTTGATCTTCTATTTTAAACTTGAGCTATAATATATTTATATGCGCATATCCTCTTCAGGCAGCATTGCAATTATAGCCGAATCAACAATAGCCCGCCATTCGCTTCTTATCTTCACTGTTTGGCGGCAATTGGAAATACCAAGTGCAACCCGCTCGCTAGTTGTTCCCTCTAACGGTGTGAGGGTCTTCCACTTTCCCTGCTTCCATCGGATTGGAGTGTTCCTATCCATTGGGAAGATATTAGGTTGTCAAATATCTCCCTTCCGCTTTTTTGTCTTATATGCTGCTGAAACGGAACGAACTCGACCCATTCTTGAAGCGGACTGGCGACGAAAAATGGATCACATACGACAATATCAAGCGAAAACGATCGTGGTCGAAGACCGGTGGATCGTCCCAAACAGTGGCCAAGCCGGGATTGATGGCCAGGAAGGTTTTGCTGTGTGTTTGGTGGGATTGGAAGAGAATCATCCACTATGAGCTGCTCCCATATGGCCAGACGCTTAATTCTACCATCTACTGCGAACGACTGGACCGCTTGAAGCAGGCGGTCGATCAGAAGCGTCCAGAATTGGTCAACAGGAAGGGTATAGTGTTCCACCAGGACAACGCCAGACCACACACTTCGTTGATGACTCGTCAGAAGCTATGGGAGCTCGGATGGGAGGTTTTATCGCATCCACCATATAGCCCGGACGTAGCGCCAAGTGATTACCACCTGTTCCTGTCCTTGGTGGTGTGAAGTTGAACTCAAAAGAGGCTTGTGAAAAGTGGCTGTCCGAATTCTTCTACGAGCAAGGTATTATAAAGTTGCCGTCTAGATGGAAACAGATCATCGAACAAAACGGCGCATATTTTAACTAAATCCGATCACTGTAACACTTTTTATAAAGCATCGAATGAAGAGCAAAAAAGTGGAAGGGAGATATTTGACAACCTTATATCAACAGGCATATCACAATTTGGAGTAGGAGCTCCGCCGAAAATCACTTCAGCGGTTGCAAAACGCCATTAAAAGAAGACCCCACAGTCTGTGCAAACTACAGTGTGGCAAGCCTTTTTAATATCCCATATAAAGTCTTATCGAACGTATTGTGTAGAAGACTAAGACCCATATATAAGTTTTGATGCTGTCTATTACTATGTTGGCTTTACAATTCAGTTTCTTGTCAGCACTACTCGCATAAATGTTTCCTTGGTCCCGAGGCTTGAGCCAATCCCATATAAAGTTAACGGGCTAATTGTCGGTATTTAACACCCCCCCGATTGAATAGCACGAGTTCCACCTTATTTGAATTGACGCAAAGTCTACTACGGTTAGACCAATTAGATACTCTTTGAAGATTCCCCGGAATCAAATCGCATTGAGGTTGTGAAAACTTACTTAAGTTATGTCAATAACATCAGAGTATACAAAAATTCTAGCTCCTCTATAACCAGTTAGTGTCAAAAGCGAGGTAACCGTAAGGTGAATAGCTCATATCCTCCCAGGCTCGCGATTATGGTTATTTATGAATGCAACCAGTGGGTTGTTAACCTCTAGGCCCTCCCAGGCAAGTTTAACCGCAACCAATAAGAATTCATTTTCGTTAAGAGGTTTTTCAATAAATGAAATTAGCCTATGCAACACGGTTTCTGTTGCTTCTCCTTTCTGATAAGCGTAGTGACGGTTCGAAATTACCACTAATTAAATAGCTTGAGAAAGAAATTATTATTATTTCTAATGATTTAAGAACGAAGGACGAAATGTAGAGTCCTTTAGTCTGCTCTTTATGGATAGCTGTCCCCGTGCCGTTAGAATGTACTTATATTTTAAACAAGCTATAAAAATTAACTTAAGCCAGCACTTGGATAATTCTAAACTATTCTACAATTTCGCAGGGATAATACCATCTGGCCAGAATGCTTTGAACGTACTGAAAGTTTTCATTGCCCATGCTATTATTTCTTCTGCATGAGAAGATAGGTGGTACTTGTGAGTTTCCCGGAAAGTGGATCTCAAGCAAAAGTTCAAGTCCCATACGTGCAGTAAAAGCCGGGAAATTATAAGAGAAGGACCCACCTCCCCCCCCCCCCCCCCTTTGGTCCAAACCCGTCGAAACAGCTCATTTCCTGTACCTACCACTAGATGACCTCGGCGACTTAGACTGAACAAACCTGTGCCTAGCGGCTCGCTTACAACAACAACACAACAACAGAAGGACATAAATTTACATACATGCATTGGGCACATATTGACTAAAGCGATAATCTATCTGCGATAAGGAAGAGTTTTACTAATCGATCCTGTGATATGAAGTTTTTTAACCTTCTTCGGAAAGAATCGAGGTTATATATGTAATTATAAATTATATGTAATTAGGAGCAGTTAAGAGTCGGTCTTTTGTGATCGAGTTAAAGACTGTACTTACTCGTCCAACTCGTTGACCTAAGCTTAGGTCCCCGAAAAAATATTAACTCTATTGTCGCTAATATTTAATATGCATGTATGTATGTTAGAAACCCATAACCTTCCTACTCTATTGGCTCATCGCGTTACGTACAGACGACACCACATTAAAAACTTAAATAAAAGTTTCATCTTCAGGCTTTTACATTCCACTGAATTCAGATCCCACAAAAGGAATAAACACTTCAATGCGTAAAAACTTAATATTTTGAACAGAAAATATATTTATATTTAAAAATGTAGAAAACAATTTTCTGTACCAAATCAATGACATTAAAATACTTTAAACTGGATTTGAATTTATATATGAGATTCTTACAACTAACAAGTTATGACAAAATATATTCAATGTTTTTAAATAGAAATAAAAATAAAAATAAATATTAATTATTAAATATATCTAAGAGAACACCAAGAACATAAAATAAATCTCCAGCGAACAACATTTGGGAAAACTGCTTAGGATCAGCTTCTTTGAGAGTCGACAGTCTTTCGTGTAACTGTCGCAAATGTTTGGCCAAATTGGTGCTCCTCAGCATTGCAACGTACTTGGCACCACCTGAGGCTAACTTCCACACACCCACGCATGCAATCAACTGTTCTTCATATGAAGTACATTTTTGTTTTAACGAAACATTTAACTGATGCTCGATAATTGTATTGACGGTGCAAATGAAATCCGTTGAAGCTACCAACGCTGAACGATTGCTCGGCAAAAAACACATATTACGGAGAATACGAAGCGTCAGTAACCGAGCATTACCACTAGGCGGAGATCGTGACACTACGTCACATAGCGCGCGCAAATTGCGCGTATTTGCACCTTCTGGGTAGCGCGAAAACAACTCCCAGAACTCTAACCAGGAATGTAGTATTTCCGCTTTAATCTTTGGAGACTTCAGATGAAACGGATGCATGCTATCGAACATATCCATCATATGTGCCTTAATAATGGTTACACGCCCTTCAATACATGAGCAACAATTCATAATCATGCGCAGACCAGTTCTTATAACTGGATAGTTTTCGGAAGTATTAGGCTTCACACGCGTAGTTTCAGCTACAATCAACTTGATGACTAGTTGCAGAAGTGAATGAGCGAAACCGGAAAACACCACAGAAAATTGCTGGCACATGACAAATGAGTGTTCACTATGATAGCAAAGTACCTTAAGCACAAGCTCTTTTAATTCACCAGAGTGCGGTAGCCATGGCCAAAGCTGCATGATGAGCTTAGAGAGCGCTACACATTGCAGATTATTCGTAAGCGCTGCATCAGACGCAGAGAACCAATGTATTTGTACGTTAAGCAAAATTTGGAAATTCTTCACTAGTGTCATCTTTTTATTGTCCCCATAACGGCGCACGAAAGTTGTGGCCGAGCATTTGAATTGGTCAAAGAATACATTGAACGCTTGCGTTATTTTGTCAAACAATTTAAATTGTTTTGCTGCCATTCTCGCAGCTAGGGAAAGGCTAAGCAAAATTCCCATTGTTTCACTCACTTGTACTTGCGCTTTGGATGGTGCTGACTCAAATTTGCAGTCCGCTGCAGAATAAAGATGTTGGAAGAGCCGAAATAAAGCGGCAAATAACAAAACAGCTGCCGATCTAGTAACGGCTGGTGCAGGAGGGGCGTTATCCTTAGCATCAAGACTTATTCGATCATCGTATATGTTGTGCTGTTGCTTTGATATCTTTTCTTCACTATTATTTAGTTCAGTACATATAATGTTATCGCATCCTTTATTCGCAATTTCAACACTTTGTTCTAAAGCAATCAGAAAGCTATGTCCGTTAGCATGATTTGCACCATTATTTTGAGCTTTAATTAATAATAAGCTTAGTGTAGCTAAAGAATATCGTTGTAGAGGTGTATTGATATTGCTAATGGTGAAAGCGCGCAAAAAAACCGTCAGCAAAAGCTCTGGAGCCTTAGTAATTTGAAAGCATAATTTTGCATAGGCTAATTCATCCTTACATAGTACCAAAAACAGTTGTAGTATGTTTATCACCACGGCATCTGAATCAATATGGGTTTCCAGCAATTTGTAGAAGTTCGTTAGCCAAACTTGATCTCGACACAATGTTCGTTTCAAAACAGAAAAATTCGTAGGGTAACATGCTGCATACAAGCGACATATATCACCCCACATGATGTAGTAGGCAGGATTGGAGTTTGTCAGTGGTATTTTCAGCAATTCATATAATTTGAACATAAAATCGCTTTCACATAACTCTGAAGCGAAAAGTGAGTGGCATGGTAACATCCTGTAGCAAATTCTACATAAACAACTGATCAATTCGCAACTAGTTATTTTCATTCCGAAATTAAGATCAAAATGTGGAGGCAAATGCCGTTCTAATATACAGTTTCCCCGTATGGCTTCAATTGAATACGGTAGGAATTTGTGACGCGTGAGTAATTTGTATGCTTCTTCATATCTTTCCATACCAGTGAGAAAACTCACAAATAAATTGGCTGCTAATTGACGCACCACAATCGTTTCGCCGACATCGAGGAATGTGCACAAGCAACATGCCATAAACCCGCCGGGAAGATAAGATAAAATATCTTCAAGAAATCTAAAGCCAAATGTAACAGATCTCTGAGAATCGTGTCCTACATAGCACGAGGCATGTGTTAAAATACACCATGCCAGTGCACGAACTTGTCGATCACAATGACCACACAGCCCACTTAAATATTTCACTGATGATTCGCAAAGAGAGAAATGCCGTTGTGGTTCTTCCAGTTGTGCATAAAGTTGGCATACAATAGTAAGGCAGTCAATCTGCCACCGGGAACCCGTCTGAGTAAATGATTTCAAAGCAAGTGATAATTTAATCAAACGCTTGCAGTATGACATAAGCTTCTCATCTGTAATGGTAATATCGAAAGCGCTAAGAGTTTTCAACAGACCCAATAAACAACGTATGCGTAAAAGATCGCGTTTTGGAAAGTGTTGTATTATTAATTGAAAAATAAGCTCAAAGAGGTTACTATGAAGAATCCGCAAATTTGTATCATCCCCATTTAGCGTTGTCACAACTTTCAACACATTCGCCAATAAAATGGTCAATTTGTTGTACAATCGTAGTGATATGTTTACGTTTTTGAGTAGATCTATAATTGCATGCCGGAAATCGGAAACAAGTTCTTTCACCAAGCGTACACATATTACTTGCAAAGGCAGGTTTACGCACAATTGACAGAGATCAATTAATGCTTCAAATAGTTGGTAATCCGCTTCATTGCCTGGAGGTAATTGTAAATATTTACCAATAAGATTGTAAAGTTCATCAGCAATTTTATCAGGCATCAGAGTTGCATCAACACTAGATTTTTGATCGTGCACAAAGAACTGCAATTGCAATGAAATACTGGCGTTTATTAGCGATGAATGATCTGTAGCATTTAATATGGCCCGTAAGAAACGTTGTACATTCTGTTTCGGTATAGTAGCGTTCATCAAACGCCAATCACGCAATGTCAACTGCAGTTCTACATTAAAATCATAATTCTTTTGTTCCTCCAAATACTGCTTGGGCACAGGGATTTGATTATCACACAAGCTAATAGCTAACAAATGACGTAAATATGAATTGCATTCCGATTCTATTTTGAAAAGATTTTCATATTCATATGGAGTAATGTTGCCTTGTTCAAAAGATTGTAACACACACCTTAGTGGCAATCCCAGGTTACCTACTAATGTTGGTGCCTCCACCCGTTGGTTGCCCAAAACAACAAGAAAATTTGTATAAAGCAGCAAAAACAAACACACGCAAACATCTTGGCGCAACTGCATGTCATTTTGATAAAGGCAAAGTGCACGTAAAAGTAGCACATATATATTTGGGGTTTCGGATAATTCACTGCGCAAAGCTGCATCATATAATAACATTTTACATAGCATGCCGATAGCCGGAACAGCAGCGCCTGTGTAATCTTCATACGATGCTACCGACAATGAGTTTTCTAATGCTTGCAAAATTAAATAGTGTGCGCTTTCCTCACAAAGAGAGGCTAACATATGCCACTGCTGGCACATAATATTCAATTGCATTAATGTTGTTTTTCGAATCACAGGTTCTACATCGGCTATTTCCAACATACTTAAGAGATTGTGTAAAGTATCCCGTTCAAATGAAGGAGTAATATCCGGAAATATTGATTGATATTCTCGCGGATTTTTCATAATACAAATATCGTTGGGTATTACATCACTTATATGAAGAAGATTAGGTACATATTTGTCCGCATCTGGCACTGAATTAATAATGTAAATAAGCCTTGTTATTGCCTCACTGCGTACTTTGCTGTCGCGATGAAACATGAATACAATATTTCCTTGCAGAACCGTTAGAAAAGGAAGTTGTTTTGCATCCGGATCGAGTAACTTTTGCACTAGCTCTACAATTGATTGAGAATGTGTACAACATTGCAGTACCGGTAAGAGCGGTAAGAATAGCTCTAAAAATTTTGGCCAATGTTCACCCAGTAGATTTTGGGATTTCAATATAAGCAAGAGTATTTCCTCACTAATTTTACATATACTTTGTTTTAAATTATCTCCGCATGTGTAAATTAGATGGAGTATTAGTTCGCTACTTAGTGGTACCCCAAGAACTTGAGACTCCATTAACTGTTCATTTGCCAAACCAATGCAATAGCGTTCGCATTGCATTAAACAAGCAAAATGACGTTTTACTGCCATAGAGATCATTTTATATGCATGTATCTTTAGCGGTTCGTATTTAAGGCGTAATAGTTCGAGTAGTAGTTCAGCAGCTTTCTCGCGAAGTGTGGGTTCTGAAATATACAGTTTGTTACAATCTAAAACCGCGTTAAAAATCAATTCGATTAGTTGAATACTTTTCAAACTTTCTAATGCTACACAAATATCTTTTCCATTCATTACTATTGCTTCACTTTTGCTATCTGGATGTCGCATTAACGATATGGCAAATCGCATACAGCTATCATAATTTCGTAGCTTTTCATAATGGAATACAGTTTTAAAATCATACATTTTCGTACACTCTTCAATATGTCTGTAACGCTGAGGAAAATTCACTTTAAAGGTATAATCGCCCAATAGAAATGCCAACAGTTGATGATCTCCCTCGTCAGTTTGATAATTTTTATTATGCATTAGCATATCATCCAATAGGCAGACAATTAATAGATATTTTATTCGATTTAAGGTGAAATGTCCATCTTGTTCAAAACACCGTCGAAGACCTAGGATAGTTTTATGTAACGTGCTTAGTATATTTTTATTAATTGTAAGGTTTTCGATTCGACATAGTTGGAGACAAGCACTAATTATCTCGACCACTCCTTGTATTTCTCTACGTAGTTCACATACCAATGATTCCAATATTTGCACGCTTTGCTCAAGGACGTACTTTATAATTGTATTCAATTTTAATTGCTGATATCCTGATAACTGTAACATTTCTGAGTTTGTTGAATATGCACTTATATTTTGTCGCTCTTTTAGTCGCAGCAAAAGCATGTGCAAATAAGTTTTAATTGTGCGCGCGACATCTTGGAACATGTCATCTTCTTCATCTACATAGGGTTCATACAAATTCAACAAACTCAAAAATACGTGCGGAATCTGCAACATATATTCCGCCGGATAGTCGTGCATTGTTACTTCCAAATGCAGTAGGGTATTTGTTATCTCTGCTTTATCAACAGTTGAGTTCGTCAAAATATCTGCTATCAAACTTATCGCGGCGAAATCTGCGGCTGTCGGTTTACTCCAAGCTGGTTCATAGTCATCCAATCCAAAGCGATTTAAGAACTCTTTACTTTTATTAACGGATTCAAGTTTATCTCTATCAACAAGAGAAATAGCTTCAATAACTTCTTTTTCTTTATTAGTGATATTAGTATTTTTTCTCCCGTTATATTCGCTCAATATAACTTTTATTTCATCCACCATTTCAGATTCCGTGGAAAGTTTCCTAACACGATGTCTAACCTTTTCCATTTCGCGCATAAAGCGCTCTGAACCTAGGCTACCAATAGCTTGTTCGCTGTAACTCGATCGTAAAATTTTTATTAGTAGCTTTAGCACTAGTTGTGTAGCACTTAGCGGTTCAAAGCCGAACCAGCGGATGAGTTGCTTGCATAATTCACCCGCTTTGAATTCCAGGCTTTCATTGTGTTCAAAAGCGCGACTCAGCTTGTTCGATATTTGTTCCAAGGTGCGCAGCCTAATTTCAAGGGATTCATGAGTAAGCTTTTGTATTGTTGCTGGACTCAGTTGCAGAGACATATTGATTTTTCACCTGGAAAATAAAAGCTTTAATATATTTACCAACATAAAAATATCCCTTACCAATTTTCACAGCTCATTGAGACCTCTCCTGATTTCTAATTTTCACAAAATTATTGCCTGCTTTTAATATTAGATGTAACTTTACTGACAGGCATGTTGGTTGGTTTTCCACAAAAAAAAAAAAGTTATTAAAAATTCAATTTGATCGCGCGCTTACGAGGATCAAAACAAAACCGACACATTTCAAAAACGCTATCGGTATTTGTAATATCGATTAATTTTAAATAAGAAATATATTGGTACACTCACGAACGTGGCCATAACCCATGGCTGATTATACTTATGGTAGAACCATGTAAATATGACCTCATCGCCGTTACGTAGGACGGCCGGTTCTCCCTGCTGATCCTACTGAGTGCTGTTATTATTGTTGCAGTCGCAAAGATTTTCCTCAAACTAGTTTTTGGAAGTCCTTGGCCGGCTAAAAATCTGCGTTGTTCCGGTATAAAGACACGACTGTCGCGGGAACTATTGGATTTTAAACGCATTTGATGACAGGCATGCCTTATACATATATTTGGCGATTTGTAACCGCTGAAGCGATTTTCCGCCAAGCTCCTGCTTCAATATGCGGTTTTGCGTCTTGGTGTTTTTCCAAGAAATGGAGAGACCTAATAAGCCTCCTCCGAATGGCTGATGGGTTTATTTATTTCATGTCAGAAATACTCTCAAAGGGGTTGACAATCCTTGCCGAGGTGCGACCACAATTAGAAAATTTAGCTTATTTTCTTATTCAAATTAATTTTCTATAATTTTTAAATCTCAGTCGCACGGGAATTTGAACCCGAGTCTTCCGAATGGCAGTACGCTTACCGCTGGTATATGATTGAACCCTTAACGCGCAGGGGAAATACTTTTGCATGCTAAAACTCAATGTGTGTACCAACATCGTAGGAAACTCAACTCATTAAATAACGATGGATTTTTCGCGAATCATTCGTTTTAATACAGCTTAAAATAAGTAAGCAAATTGAAATATTGACAACTGTTGCAGTTGTTATTTTTGGAATAGTGTGTTCTATTATATTGGGTTGCACCAAGAGAAACCGTCGATTTTTTGAAAGAAAGTGAATACATTTTTTTTTTTTTGTAATTTTATGATGAAGTTTAATTAACTATGTAATTTCCATGTTTTTGGATGATCTTTCGCCATCTTTCCTCCAACATCATTACTCCACGCTCATGGAAGTTCTGGCCTTTATCTGCAAAACTGAACTGCGATTTTATACTCTCGTCATTTTCGAAAGTTTTACCATTGAAAGAGTTCTGCAAACATCGAAACAAAGTGCTTTTCAAGAGGTTTGCTTGGGCCATGATAGTTTCTGATTGACGTTATTGTAAACAATCCATATTTCTTCTCCAGTTATGATTTTCTTCAAAAATGGGTCATATTCAAACGTTGAAAAGGCTTGTTAAATTAATTTCTTTCAATTCTTGTGGTACCCAAATGTAACAGTCTATAGCCTATTTCCACCGGACGTTAAATACACTTTAGCTTAAATGCATTTAAACATCGCATTTAAATGAGGTAATCCTACTGTCACTACTTATGTAATCATTTCGGAAGTTTCGGTGTACTTCTTGCAAGAGTCGTGTATTTTCGGATTTAATGAGGGGCGAGACCTCTATTTTGCATGGTGAAATTTTTTGTGTAAAATTTACTTTTTTGCATTAGTTTTAACATAAATGCATATATTAAGTAATTGGCGAAGAGAATGCTTCTCCTCCTTCAAAAACAAACTATAAGAAACAAACAAAAAACAATTGTGAAATATAAAACGATCCCCTCAACATAAAAACATACGTGGCTTTGGTAGCTATCAGTTGATTGCGCAAAGCAAATAATTTGAGGGAACAAAGAAACAAATGTGAAAATTGAAATATGCATAAAAGCATTTTCGTTACAGCAACGTTTGTCCGTACAGAAATAATCTTCACTTGCAGATCTTAAGATTGCTTAAATAGCCATAAAATTAATGCGGTCTCTTGAAGTCATGATTTCAATTGTTGTGGCAAATTTTGCAAACTGCAAATGTAAACAAAAATCAGCTGTTTGAGTTAACTCACTTTCGGTGAAAACGTTTGACATTTAATGCATTTAAGTGCTTGGTGGAAATAGGCTATAAGACGCCGTTGGTTTTGGTATACATGACGATCCGATTCGATTGAAGCCTTGATATCGTAATCATCAACTTCGTGGCTTTTCTTTGAGGGAAAATCTCTCGATCGGAATTCGACACATCAACTTCGACACTTTTTTCTTTAATCCATACAAATATAATATAGTAAAATAATGTGAAAATTTTCTTTTATAGGCTCCATATTAAAATTGACGCCAAACACACAAATATAAACAAAATTACGCGTACTTTTTTTTATAAAGAAAGTGAAAAGTGACAGCTTTTAGCTATCAAAAAAAAAATTCAACTAAAAAAAATTGTCAACGCCGTATGTATGAAAAATCGTCGGTTTCTTTTGAGACAACCCAATCACTGTGTGGGAAATTTTTTTTTATAATTATAATAATTTTTTTATTATATATATTATTTTTGGACCGTTGAAATAACTTTGCGTTAATTTTAACTATTTCGCCATTCGCTAAACATATAATATTATAACGATTTAAGGATTGTTATATAACATATTTTAATGATTTTAAATTTTCGGTGTACTTATTTTACCATATTCGCTATCGCTTAATCTATCGTATTATAGCGATTTTCGGATCATTGAAATGACTTAACGGTAATTTTAACGATTTCGCTATTCTCTAACATGGTATAACGATTAACTACGGCCGTGCGCTATTTCTAGATCCATTGCTCGTATGGTGAGGCACGTAAAAAGAGAAATCCACCTCTACTCCGTGCTTTTGCGCGCGATAGCGCTAGTTCGACCAAAGTAGCCCAGACCAGTAAAAGGGAATGGTCTTATGTACGTCGTGCCTCGATCTGATGGCAAGCTTACCTTTTTACCTCACAGCTTACTGTTTGGACTTCGTTCTTGTAGTTTGAGCTGGCAACAAAACCTAATCTGAGTTTAAAGATGATAGATAGTAAGTTTCATAGTATATGATTCTTGCAACAGGCTGAGGAACAAAAAGAAACTTTGCCGTGTGAAAACTCAGACGTGTATGCACCCTTATATTAATGACAATCGATTTCTAATTAAATTATCACCAAAACGGCAACACTTAAAACTATTATTATTTAATTTATGGTTAGGAATAGGAATTAGCGTGAGGTTTTCCATCGATCTTAAGTAAAATGATAACAATTATTAAAAGTATTTCTAGAAATCTAACTAATACAACGTTTTCTGTTGCAAATCGGGTTTGTTACCATCAGGGATTGGCAAACTTTCATTCTGGTACTGCATTTAGGTGTGAAGCGACACAAATTTCACCTGAAGAATTAAAGAAACAGAAAAATGATCGAACAAAAATTATTCCTGTAGAGACATCAATGCGATACCTACAGAGTTCCGCTTATAAGGAAACATACGGAGACCATTTAGTCTGGGAACAATATCGGTAAGTTTTAGTCATTGACAGTGAAAAATTACCTAATTCTTTTTTGCTTTTAGGCGTAATCATAAAGGCTCTATTCCACCTCGTAAAACGAGAAAGACTTGTATCCGAAAAGGTGTAATTTCTACTGGAAATCCATGCCCTATTTGCCGAGACGAATATTTAGTTTTAGATCACCGTAATGTCGCATTATTGCGTCAGTTTATATCCCCGCATACTGGTGAAATTCTAAGTTATTCTAAAACTGGTCTCTGTCAAAAGAAACATTTCGACTTAAAGGTGGCCATATTGCGAGCTTGGGATTTCGGTTTGATTACCTTTGACGTTCCGTTTAGGGAATTTGATCTGGAAGAATATTACGGGAAAGTTGATAATAAATAATTCTTTCATATAACATAATTTCATAACATATATATCTGTGAACAAGAAACAAAATAATGACATCTTATAACAATGACAATATTAGGAAGCTTGAAGAGCTAACTACGACATTTCTGGTGGTGGGTGGTGGAATCGCTGGGGTTACATGTGCCGAAACACTTGCACTTTACCATCCAGAGGAGAGTATTATTTTGCTGACGGAATCTAACATTATCAAAACGATAGCAAATTTAGAACCAGTGGCAAGATATCTTTACAAGTTTGATGTAAAAGAACATAGCTTGAAAGAAGACAACTCAGACTCAACTAAGCTTGCTCCAGCTATTGTTACTATTGTTGACCGCCTTAAGAATATAGACGCCTTAAAGCACTGCGCTCACACTAATAATGGCCAAATCATTTGCTACAAATTTATTTGTCTTTGTACAGGAGCTCAACCAAATTTAATTCTTAGTAACAATTCTCGTGTAATTGGAATTCGAGATACCGATTCGGTTTTAACTTTACAACGAAGATTGAAAAATGCAAAAAGTGTAGTACTACTTGGTAACGGAGGCATAGCCAGTGAACTTGCTTACGAGCTGCGCGGAGTTGAAGTTCATTGGGTAGTCAAAGATAGTCATATTGCATCAACATTTGTAGATCCTGGAGCTGCACATTTTTTTCAAGAATCCATACGGCTTAAAAAACTAAACAAAGATGAAACTTGTAAAGAAATATCTCAATCGACTACCGTTATTAAACGTTTAAGATACGCTGAGGATCTTCCGGAGGAATTAAATGAAAAGTTACATGAACATGGTGCTGCTCTAGGTCCAGATTGGCATAGAAACTTCAATTTGAGAGCTGATACGGATGGTAATATAGATACGCTGATCATACACTACAAATCACATGTTAAGCAAATAAAAGAGGAAAATGACATGTTAATTGTATCACTTTCGAATGGTGACCCCATTAAATGTGATTTTCTTGTATCTGCAACGGGGGTTGAACCAAATCATAATTATACGTGTTCTTTGCCTATTTCCCTGGCAGCGGATGGAGGAATTGCTGTTAATGAGATGATGGAAACTAATGTTAAAAACATATATGCAGCTGGCGATGTATGCACAAGTTCTTGGGATCCTGCCCAACACTGGTTCCAAATGAGATTGTGGACACAAGCAAGGCAAATGGGTTGTATGGCAGGCCGCAGTATGGGCGCTAAACTTAAAAATGAGCTAATTTACCAAGACTTCTGCTTTGAACTTTTTGGTCATGTAACGCAACTATTTGGATTTCCCGTTGTACTTCTTGGTAGATATAACGGCCAGGGCTTAGGAACCGATTATGAGTTATTGTTGCGCAGTACCCCCGAAAAAGAGTATATCAAATTTGTGCTTCAAAGAGGCCGTTTGCGTGGTGCAATTCTGATTGGAAACACTGAACTTGCAGAAACATGCGAAAATTTAATTTTAAACGCCATTGATCTTACACCATACGGAGATGATATTCTTAATCCAGATATTGATATCGAGGATTACTTCGATTAAAAAGTCAATCACATTTATATATTTTGTTTCTATTCACACAAATTGAAATACATAAAAAATATATCATTCATTTTATTTTGCCTTTTGTCATTTGATTTTAGCCTCATTACCTGAAATTATAAATATAAAATTTGAATTTGAAATAATTAGTGAATGCTTGATACTATACTCACCAACATATTTTATTTCATCGAAGGCCTTTCGAGCCTTCTTTAACTCTTCATTCATAGTCAACAAATCTTTAACACGAGCATATTTTCTTGGATCTTTTCTAACTAAAAATATAATATCCTCCACTTGCACCCTCCCAGTACGACCGATCTCCATTGCTTTATGTGTCATTTCCGTAATGAATTCTATTACTAGATCTTCTAGCAAATCTACACTTTCTGTATATGGATTCTTATCATCACCAAATCCATACATCATACACCGAAGTTCTTTACTGAATAGGCGTTTTCTTCCAGCCGTAGTTGACACAAATTGTTCCTCTCCCAATTCATCCTCATCGAACTAAAAGTAATACCACTGTTACATGTCAAATGAAAAAATAAAAATTGTATTTTTATTACGTCAGGAGTCTCAAAGTTTTCATCGATGTTGGGGTTTGCCGTCATTTCTACAGCTAGCAAGTATAAATAGTTAATATTTTTAAAGACAAATATAAGTAGTGTTTAATATTTACAAATGCCAAAAACGACTGTCATATGAGAGAGAGATCAAAGATAACAGAGAATAATAGTTTCGATAATTTTTCGATAAAAACTGCAGATATTAAGGGGCGCTTTCACGGAGAGTGAAACATGTGTTTAAATTTTAAATTCCAAATGTCGACTCGATAAATATATTTCCTCTTCCTTACTGATGTAAACAAAGGTGAGAAAGCAGTTTTTATGTGTAAAAATGATGAAAAATATTATTTTTTTGATAAAATTAATTGAATAAAATCGTTTTAAGTATTACTAGGCTTTATTATAAGTGATATTTAAGAGCTTCGTGTGATTATATTACCTTTTATTCGGAAATTTCGGTTGGTCAAAAATCAAATTTTACCTAGTTCTGTACACACATTATATTCCGATCGTTAAAATGATTTTCAATTACATGCGATACACTTTTTGTAAACAGCTTTCATAACCATAATTAATACGACTCTCACGACAGCCGGTTCTACGCACCGGAGTTGACCCGGATATTATCCGGGCAAGAGCTGTCACCCTTTCGGCGACCTAACCCCGTTTAGGTCAACAGGTAACATTAGTATAAGTTCGCCAAGGGGGCAACACCTTTCTGCTTGATTGTTCCAAATCCTTCTTATGAGGGCTGGTGTCGAAACCAACCCTGGTCCGACGGACTATTTGTGCTGCGTGTGTAATTAAAGACTCCACCACTCCTCCACCTCGATTAAATGCAACCAGTGCAATGGCTTGAGTCACCTAAAGATCTCCTCAGACCTTAAGACTTACAGGGAGTGGACCACGAGTTATGTGGCGCCATGCCGCCAGCGTCCAATCGCCCCCCAGCGTCCACGGCAGTACCTTCAGCACCTTTAATTACTCTACTCAGGGTAATCAACAGACCTCTACGGTCTCACGGAGCCCCCCGCAGCATGACTCCCGCGAACCTCCACCCCCACCCCTCACAACCAACTCATCATCCTCCTCCCGCAGCTCCTAACGAAGACAATCGCTCAGTGCTACTAACGGACATTGAGGAATCCTCTTTACTACACCTGAGTGGTCGGCAATCATAGGAAATATTTCGAGGTGAAACATCGGGAGCCAGAAAATTTAAACAGAGGGTTCCGCAGGGTGGTGCCCACTTCCCGCTACTGTTTAATTTTTATATTTCGAAACTCCCTCCTCCACGAGAAGGAGTTTCCCTAACCTCGTATTCCGATGATTGTACGATAATTACGTCTGGCAAGGTTATTGATGACCTCTGTTCGAAAGTGAACTGCTACCTTGCCGATCTTCCTCACTTCTTCACTGCACGACAATAAAAAATACAGCTGACTCATTCCTCGGCTACCCTCTTCACCAGATGGACGAAGGAGTACAGGCTTAAACTAGTTGTGAAGGTCGATGACAAAAAAATTCCGAATGTAAATAACGCAAAGATATTGGGAGTAACACTAGACAGCCTGCACTCCTTCACTCCGCATGCGACCGCAATTGCTGCGAACCTCCAGAGCCACAACAAAATACTCAAAGCGCTATCCGTCAGCACCTGGGGTAAAGACAGAGACACCTTGCTGGCAACTTATACAGCAATTGGCCGGCCGGTAGTAAACTATGCTGAAGAAGCTACAGTTTTGCCAGAACACCGCCCTCAGGACCGCGACAGGAAACCTCCTGATGTCACCGGAGCATCACTTGCACAGCGAAGCATCTATGCTACGAGCTAAGGAGCATAATGCATTGCTATGCAAGCAGTTCCTATTGGGACTCTACCGCAGGAAGCACCCCAGTAGGCTCCTAAGAGAAGCTGAACCTCCAACTAGGCACATCAGAAAGGGAGTACTAAATTTAAAGGACACAATCCAGCAATATGTGCAACAACCGCTGGGCAGGGCGGCACTGACAGACAAGCACTGAACGACATTCACCAGGAATCAGTCAACATCTTCAAGGACTCCCTTCTAGTGAATGGCGTGCTCGGAGAAAAACCACCACCTATGGCAAACAACGGACATGTAAAGAGTCTTCGCACGACACTAACCACCTCTTCACATGCCCTCTCAAACCAGCCCATCTAAGCCCTCTCACCCTTTGGTCCAACCCCGTCGAAACGGCTCGTTTCCTGCACCTCTCACTAGATGACCCCGGCGACTTAGAATGATCAAACCTGTGCCTAAGCCGGGTTAGCGAACCGCTACAACAACAACAACAACAACAACAACAACAACATAATTACTAATTAAAATAAACAAAAACTACTAATTATACTAAACATTAGCAAAGAAAGAAGTACAAAGAATCACCAAGGGGCAAATTGAATGCTTCCTTAAATTTTAGAAAGTCATACCGAGATGACCAGAAGACGAAGAGGCTGGTCTTCGGGATGGAGTAACTTGATCTATGTGCTGAATGAAACTGACCATTGAATGGTATATCAGATTTGAAAGATTACTTAAACATGTAGCTTTTAAGTTACCAACGGCAAGCGGCGTGGTGAACTATTTATTGAATGCTATAAATGTAATAGTTGAAATTATTCTATTCAATGAATGTTTTATTTGAAGAGTATTTTTTTATTTTACGTTTTAGTTGCAGGTAGCGTTGAAATTACGCATCTCGAGTGGTGCACATTTATACAACATTTAAGATTGCAATAAGCGTTACCTCAGATAATTAGGCCTACAATCTCTTGAATATGTAGCTATAGTGAGTGTATTGCGATATTTAACAGCCGTGAATAAATACAAATGCACCTAATTAGAGCTAAACGATATGCTGAAAGCAATTGATGATGTTGATATAGAATGTAGATCACTTTTTATGAATTATTATGAGGATTATATTAAAATATATATAGTAAAAACCCAAATTTCTATTTCCAAACTTACAACATTTAATCGTTTGAAACTTAAGATAGCTACAATCAGTTCAAAGTGAAAAAAAAATAAAAGGGAAACCCAAAATTTAGGGATACAAAGAGAAACACAAAATGTGTCGAACGAGCACAGCGACACTGCGCTGTCGCTTTCGTCGTCGCCTCCTCCCCTACAAACGAGTCTTTCATCGACAAAAAGTATCCCCGTGTAAACTCAGACTTAGCGATAGCTCTAACGATTTTAATATTCAGTTAACTTTCAAAGATATCCGCTATCGCTGTTGTCATAAACTACTCGACAAACCGCTAACTAAGCGACGATAATTTTTAAGTTGTTAGCGATATCGACAAAATATTGTTATTTCATTAAGGTTAAAATAAAGTGATGCAAATTGGGAAATTGCTTAAGTTATATAAAAATCAAAACAAAATGATAAGCAAAAATGACTTTAGGTACCCTTCATCATAGGATAGAAGTTCACTTTGAAGATGGTTTCCACTTGAATGTAACTGAGCCAAATAAAAGGCAGAAGAATAACAGCGTTATCTACGGAAAAACCGGTAAAAATATTGCTTTTAAATATTTTTCCAGTTTTAACACTATTAAAATGTTTAAAGGTTCTAACCGCCTTACGATTTTTAGCAACTGGATCCTACCAACCTCCCGTCGGAGAGCAAAGGGGAATATTTATGAGTCAGTCGTCAGAAAGCCGTTGTATTCATCGCGTGACCGAAGGAGTCAAACGTTTAATGTTTCTAGCGCAGGTTAGATTTCCTATTACGGAAATAGAGCGGATAGCCACATAGGATTTGTTTGAAATCATCATCGTCTCCATTTTTTGGAGGTACTATTGGGGCTATCGATTGCAATTCTTTAACGAATTTATTTGTTTTGTCATTCCTCTTGGTGCTTTTCGCATATTTGGTTATTATTCATATTACTTTTGTTAAGCTGTGGTGCCATCATTCCTTCATTTTAACAAAGTGGAAAAGTCCGTTGTCGATTATCGCAAAAACTGAGTTAGAGAATCGTATATTCGTTAGTGCAAGCGACATAATTCGCAAGTTTGCGATCCGACAAATCGTGTCGAAAAAGGCACAGAATTGCACTACTGGTTACTTAACTTCTGTTTGGTTTGATCATTGTAAATATTTTGAGGTAAATACGGTCCTAAGTGATTAACCCTAGATGGTGTTGTAAAATTGGTGTCGACCTAGAATCGCTTGATCGCCAATTATCTAATATATAATATTATATAAAATTCGTGTGTCACAGTGTTAGACACGATACTCCTCGAAAACAGCTTTACCGATTTTAATAAAATGTGTTTTTTGGTTTTCGGTCAAAATTCTTTTATACCACGCACGCGGTCCATTGTCACAAAAATATCTAACTGAGATCGTATCAAATATTAGCAAAGACTGGCGCTACATCTCACGCGAACAACATTTTTATTATTGTAGCTAAGAGGCTCTTAGACAGTGTAGAGCTGCTAAAAATTAATGTTTGTTTGTTAGTGACGCTGAGACTCGAGAACGACTGGACCAATCTTGATGACATTTTCAGAGGTTATACGCTGTTGACTTGGAAAGTTTAGAAATATAAAGAATTATACTTTTACTGAGGAAAAGTCGGAAAATTAGTATTTTCGAAAAACTTACTTTCAAATCTCCGAAAGGAAAAAAATAAAAAAGACATAAAAGATGATTCGTTACGGATTTCCAATGCGACAATCAATGGTCACAGGACGGACGGAAGTGTGTAGCATAAATCTAGAAATATCATATTTTTCGTACGGCCAACGAGTTCCAAAATGTCAAAATACTTTTTAATGATAGGTATTGCAAACCTGCGTCCTCTACACTTGCCTTGCAACCATACTTTGGAAAGTCTGAAATTTTGGAACGCTTTTCGTGCAAATAAGTTGCTTTTGAAATGGCTGGAATATGAAACAGATCAAAAAATAAGTAATGTAATGTTAAGAAAAGTAACTAGTAGCGATGCACAGTTTGCTTTTGTTTGCTCATCAATAATTTTACCGATGTGTTTCGGAACATGATACATCGTCAACGTTTGCACAGTTACAGTTATGAATGTGTGGCAATGTATGGTTGCTTTGCAACTGACATTCGGGTTGTTATACATATATGAAAGGCGTTTCGCGTCCTTAATATTCGGATTGCTTAAATAAATAACGAGTTTACTTAGGGTTTTAAAGTTTTATAAAATTACGTCTTTATTGGTCGGGAGTACAAAAGAAAAGAGAAAGAGTTACAATGACAGAATTGACAAATCAAGTATGCTTGGGCGGCGCTGCCCAGTTAATATATTCGCCGTTATTGTTAACGAGCTTAACCGCCACATATGAATAATAAATAAAAAACCGTTGATACAAAGGAAGAAATATCAGTAGTGCAATTCTGCAATTTTTATCGTCACGATTTGTCGGATCACAAAGATGCGAATTTTGTCGCTTGCGCTAACGATTATACGATTCTCTAACTCAGTTTTTACGATAATCGACAACGGACCTTTTAATTTCATTAAAAGGTAGAAAAGGCGACACCACAACTTAACAAAACGTCAAATTGTACGAAAGACATAAAGAGGTATGACAAAAACATATGAATTCGTTATTCCATGGTATGTAAATACTTTTAAGAAATAGGTCTGGAGGAATCTGAGAAGCCGTACAAGCATCAAGGTCAGAGACCGAAAAAGAAAGCGGACAGTCACAGGAAACAATCCCGTTGATGAGGATCCACTCACCGAATTGGAGAGACGAGTCATTGCCCTTGTAGGTAATGACTATGTCCAGGGCCACGAAAACGTTCCTGAAACCGTGCCAGTAGAGGAGGTAATGAAAAATAAAAAGTTTCTTATAAATATAAGAGACTCAAACCCTCCTCAATATTACGAATTGCAACTGCGATTAGAGGAGGGTGAAGAAAGTTTGATTGTCATTACATATATTAAAGAAGTAATGCAGTTATGAACATAAGTATTAGTTTGAGATTCTCCTTTAGGAAACTTGAATGTGATGATATGCGGTATTTAAATCCATACAAAACGACTTATCATAATCACAGATAGATACGAAGATCTGTAATGAATTATGCATTGAAATTAAGTTGTGTGTTGCATGTATTTTGCTGTGTTAACTGAACTTATAAATGATTTTACCATTTTTTTTTATTTTATAAAAAAATGTAATGTAAATTGTTATTTAAGTGAAATAATTCGCGATCAGGCGATCTTGGACGCGTTTTGCTGTTGACGATGGTGCCTTATGATTGACATGAAGCTTCAGTGAAGCCACTCCGACTTATTCGGTTTAAGGGTCTGCTGCAGTCTAATTGCAGCGTCTATTCACCAGAGGTGCGGCTGTGAGCGGGCGTCGGTCTTGAAGCAAGCGGCTCGCTATATTAATGTGTAGAAAAAAAAATTTAAACTTACTCGCCTAACGAGGTTGTGCGCTGTGTTTGGGACCCGCCACGTAGAAACCAGTTCTAATGAAAAATTTTACAACGCCTCGGATGAGATACCAACTTTCTGTTGACGACCCGCGCAAAAGAATTAAGGATCACGATTTGAAGGCATGCACCTGGAATGTCCGGTACCTTAATTGGGAAGGTCCTCGTAAGAATGAAGGCTGACATCACCGCCATCCAAGAAGTGCGAAATTTTTCAACATATCACTGATTTGAACCGACGGAAGAGAAGGACGATTTGGCCAAAGATGCCTTTTATGAGCGCCTAGAGCATACTTGCGAGCGCTGCCCCCGACGCGACGTGAAAATCGTGCTTTGCGACTTTAAAGCCAGGGTGGGCAAAGAAGGTATTTGGTACAACTGTTGGACAATTCAGCCTTCACAAAGAAACATACCCTGATGGGTTGAGGCTGATCGACTTCGCCGGGGCCCGAAATATGGTTGTCTGTAGTACTAGATTCCAGCACAAAAAAAATACATCAAGCTACTTGGCTGTCTCCTGATCGAAAAACACAAAACCACATCGATTATGTTGTGATAGACGGAAGACATGTCCCCATTGCTCTTGAAGGTGCGTACACTCCGAGAACCTAACATCGACTCGGACCATCATCATGTTGCAGCCAAGGTACGCATGCGCCTCTGTGTATCGAAGAACGCCCGTTAACAAACGGAAGGAAAGTTCGACGTTGCAGCAGCAAACACAACAGACTGCCGAAAGATTTTCTACTCGACTTGCGCTCCTGCTCTCTGAGAGCACTCATCAAAAACTCAGTATGCGGGACCGAGGCACAGCATTACAAGCTTTTTACGTACAGCTGCAAACAAAACATTGCGGTGAAGAGCTGACAAGGTACGTGCATCAGCTACTTTGCAAAATATGGTCGTATGAAAGCATGCCCGATGATTGGAATTTAAGTGTGCCCTGTCCAATCCATGAAAAGCGGACCCCACAGTCTGCGCTAATTATCGTGGGATAAGTCTCCTTAATATCGCCTGAAAAGTTATATCAAGCGTTTTGTGCGAGATACTAAAGACCTTTCATCAAACAAACTTTCATTGCATTCGCGACTGGGCTCTCACGTCACTGTTGACAGTCATTACTTTGAAGTCGTAGATAATTTTGTCTATTTAGAAACCAGCATTAACACCAATAATAACGTCAGTCTTGAAATCCAGCGCTGAATCACTCTTGCCAACAGGTGCTGCTTTGGACTGAGTAGGCAATTGAAAAGTAAAGTCCTCTCCCGAAGAAGGAAAACCAAACTCTACAAGTCCCTCATAATTCCCGTGCTGAAGCATGAATGATGACAGTATCTGATGTGCTACCTGTTGATCTAAACTGGGCTAGGTCGACGACTGGGTGACAGCCCTTGGCCGGATAAAATCCGGGTCAACTCCGATGCGTAGAATCGGCTATCTTGAGAGTTGCAGTTGAGATGTACTTACGGGCATTGAAGAATCCTCATTACCACAGGGGTTGCAGAGGTGGGTTATGGGCTACCAGTGGGGTCGGCAATCATCGGAAATATTTCGAGGTGAAACATCGAAACCCACAAAAATTAAACTGTTAATTTTTATACTTCGAAACTCCCTCCTCCACGAGAAGGAGTTTCCCTCACCTCGTATGCCGATGATTGTACGGTAATGGCGTCTGGCTAGGATATTGATGTCCTCTGTTCGAAAATGAACTGATCCTTGCCGATCTTCCTCACTTCTTCACTGCACGACAATTAAGAATACAGCCGACTAATTCCTCGGCTACCCTCTCCGCATACGAGCGCAATTGCCGCAAAACTTAATAGCCGCAACGACTACAATACGACTACGAAGAAACTTTGCTGGCAACTTATAAAGCAATTGACCGGACGGTCATAATCTATGCTGCACCGATCTGGGAGCCGGGGACAAGCGAGACGCAGATGAAGAAGCTACAAGCTTGCCAGAACACCGCAACGACTGCGACATGCAAGACAAGCACTGAACTCCATTCACCAGCAGTCAGTCAACACTTTAAAAGACTTCCTTCCAGTGAATGACGTGCTCGGAGAAAAATCACCACCCATAGCAGACAACGAGCTCGAGCTGCGCCGAGAGACCCGCGTGACTTTGGGACAACTCAGGTCTGGATACTGTAGCAGGTTAAACTCCTACTTATCCAGACTAGACCCCAGTATATCTAACGTATGCCTTGCATGTGGAGAGTCTCCGGACGACACTAACCACCTCTTCACCCTCTCAAACCCACTCATCTAACCCAACTCTCCATTCGATCCAACCCCGTCGAAACAGCTTTCCTGAACCTCCCATTAGATGACCTCAGCGACTTAGATTCATAAATCCTGTGCCTAAGAGGGGTTAGCGAGCCGCTACAACAACAACAACAACAGTATCTGATGTATGGGTCCGGATGGAATGCGAATACTCCAGCTTTAAAAGTTTTCGATGCAATACCCTCCGGTGGAAGCGGTGGAAGAGGAAGACCTCCACTCCGTTGGAAAGACCAGGTAGAGGAGGCCTGTCTGTTCTTGGTATTTCCAATTAGCACCCAACAGCAAAAACTAGAAAGGAATGACGCAATGTTGTTAAATCGGCTTTAATCGTGTAAGTGGTGTCTACGCCAGTAAAGTAAGTAAGTAAGGATAGATCTATAAACTGTTCTTTTCATACACTTAGCACTTCATTCTTCTCCTTGGTGAATTATCTTTATCCAAATAAAATTCTATCAAAACTTAACCTACTTACCAGTTCTCCCTTCCGTTTTACTTTCTTCTGCGCGGAAAAAATTCAAAAATGGTAAGCTATTTATGTAAAGAAGAATTTGAGAATGTTTTTTTATGTTGTCTAATTGACTTACAGTTAGTATATATACTCTACTCGTAAACAAATTTCTATTAACCGATATTAGAAAGAGAGTTTATTGTCGGAAAAAGTTCTTAAGTGTGATTAATATTTATTTATTATAGATAAATTATAATTTGAGTGAATGAGTAATCTTAAATAATTTACATGATTTTATCTGGAGAGCCATTATCTTTATTATAAGGTATTTTGGACAAATTTTCTTCGTATCCCATAGTCTCTAAAGTCCTTTTTGAGAACAGCAAATTGTCCATGTTTAGAACAAACACATTAGCTTTGCAGCCTTTAAAATCGCAATCTCCCTCAAATGGTGGAACTGCTTCAAACTTTCTAAATTAAATTTAAAATTTTTATATTGCACCTATGTACACATATATATATATATGATTGTATATTACTTACTCTTCCCATTCTTGTAAATGATTTAGGATTGTACATTTTGATTTCGAATTTTGATGTTTAAAAACTGCAGCTGCTCGTATACCATTTATCGTTGCATTAATAATTTTAGAGTTATTAAAGTGAGACTTTGAATTATTACTCCAATCGATTCCTATTTTACAATTCAATACGTTTGAATTTCTTAAATGCAACAACGCTTCATTCATTACCGATATACCAGTTGCAAATCGTTCAACAGTGCATTCTTCAAGAATGACTGAAGCTGCTTTATTGCATATAATACCCTGTTGTGTACTTGCTTTTCCATTTCCGACTAAAATACAATTGCGGAGACATACAGTACCACTTTTTATCAAAATTCCTGCTTGTACATTGCGACAGTCTAAGACAACGTTTTCAAGAACAAAGGAAGAATCAAAAACGAAGAGGGTACTTTCGTCGTCTGATGAAGATATTATTATATTTTCTTTACTAAAGTAATCCGACGAATTGGACAGGGTTTGTTTCTTTATTGATATTCCGCAAATTTTTCCACCGTCTACCATATTTTCTAAAAATTTTACAGTATGTCGACCAGGGCTAAGATATATGCTACCATATATATTGCAAGTATTTAGAACTTCCTAGAAATAAAAATATATCGAAGTATTTTTCCATTAAAATAAATTTCCACTATATAGCAGTACCAAATAATTATAAAGCTTGTATGTTCAGTTTTACTATCTTAAATTATAAAGAAAAGTTTTTCAAAATTTTAAATCGCTTTAAATAAGGACGTTCTGAAAGAAGTAATAGTTCTGTTCGTTGATCAGATGGGCAGTAACAATTTTTACCAAACTTTAATGAATTTTGTTCTTTGAGCAAAAAATTAAGTAAAAAATGGTAAAAAAAAAAAAAGAGAGAGCGCAATTTTGACGTTTAGTTGGATAGATTGTTGCAAATTCGTAGTGGGAAAATTTCAACCAGTAAAAACTAGCAAGTTTGAGAAATAACAAAACAAAATTGATTTAAAATTAAAATAAAATTAATTCTTCAATAAGAGCTAATACTGAAGCAAATATAATGTTATCAACAATTCAATCAAATAGTTAAGGTAGGCCGAATTCCAAAACATCAACATACTTTACAACCCTGCATTCTATATATTTGCCTTGCAAAAATACTATGCAAACTCTGATATTTTTTAACGCTTTTCGTGCGAATAAGATGCTTTTCGGTGATATAACTAAAATATAAAACAGATACAAAAAATAAGGAATATAATTAAAATAATTAGTGCAAAAAACTTGCCCTCCGACGTCGGCCGTTGTTGCTAAGAATTTATGATAAAATAAAGCATCACAAACTAGCGATACGCAGTTTGCTTTACCGATGCATTTTGCAACATGATACATCGACAAGCTTTACATGAAGCCTTATCCTTTTAGATGACTATTACAAAAAATATATTGGTATCTTTATCGTTTGACGGCTATAAAGCATGTAAAATTTCATCTTTGTTGAAATACAATAAATTTTAAATACAAATATTATATATAAAATGCTATATAAATGCCAATTCGATTAAAATAAATACTTAAAAGCGGAAAAAAATATGTTAGCAAATTCAAAAATAACTGCCGAAATAAACAGCTGTAGTACAACTTGCTGGTTGAATTCTGTTTGGTTAAAACTCAGTAAATTTCTTTCTTTGGGGGAGTAAGATATCTTACCCTTTCAATTTCGATACTGGCTAAATTTTACTGACATTTCTCAACGAACACAACTAATATTTAATACTTCGGAAAGCTCCTAATACATTTGATTCTGTTCTGTGGCGTATGACGTTTACCTGCAGTGTTTTGACGGTTTGTACCAAAGCATTTTTGGGGATGCTATCCTTAGCAGTCTCTATTAAATCTATTTGCTGTTGAAGAGTGGAAGGCATCATTACAAGAAAAATTCTATCGCACACTTTTTCAACAGTCATATCATCTTGATTCTCTTGTTTATATTCTTCGTCTGGAAACTTTATTTCTTGAAATATCCTCCGCATCTCCGGATTTTCCAGCAATTCTATTTCATTGCGAATCATCGCTAGCCGTAAATGTAATCTCATTAAATCTGTTATCTCAGTTTTGCTTACAGTTTCCTCGAGATCTCCTTCATCTTCATCCGTCAGTCCAAGTTCTAGATACTCTCGTCGTTGTTGCAAGTATTTAGATTCTGTAAGTAGCTTGCGCACGTGGGCAGTCAATGTTTTTTTCATTGTTCGTTTACGCAAATCATAACAAAACCGGATGCGTGATTCTAAATGTTTCTCTACCCAATTCAAGTCGTCATCATTATCGTTGTCCCAAGGCATCCAAACATGTGTATAAAAGAATCTTAAACGATCAATGCAATCCGCGGTTCGCTCGACATTCAATTCTGGGTTTTCTTGGTCTCTTGTAGGCCATAAATCTTCTAAGGAAACTTCATGCTTCTCCGGCAAATGAATATCAACATCTTGAACGGCTTGTATTATGAATACAGCTTTTAAATTCTTGAAAATAACCTGCTCTACATAACCAAAAACAACTGTAGGATAACGAACACATAACTCTTCACATATTATTCGTGGAATCTTCCACAATGCTTGCCAACCTATACTTTCAAAATAAATTCATTAAAAAAACATATAAAAATAAAACAAAGTAACCTACCTGCTGGCTCGATTTGAAGCTCAATATAGTATGACCACTCTGAGCGAACTTGGGAGGCGGGTATAACTTCGTCTTTCCATGATAACACTGTCATGGATTCTTCTAAACGATCCAGTAAACATTTCTCAAATTCATAAACTTCCATAGCACAAAATTTAAATTCAAGGTATAAAGTTTTACAATAATTCAAATTGAACACAGCATTGCCAATTGGAATTAAAACTGTCAATGTATCGGCAATTCTGATAATAATGTTATGCCAATTTCACACCAAGCCAAATTTCACATCGACATGATGCCTCTTTACTTGCCTTTGATAACTCAAGTATGCCTTATAAAGAAGTATTTAATTTACGAGATTATTGATTTATTATTAAAATTGAAATTTGCTGAATTAAGTTTCCCTGAAATTATATTAAGTAGAAGCTGAAGCTGTAATTTACTTGCTTATATTCGTATGAGTTGAAATCGCTGAAACAATACTTAAAATGTTTAAGTTTTGCAAAGTAAAAAAGTTGATTTTTTTGGGAATGATCTCCTAAAACCCCAAAAAAAAATATTCTTGTTATAAGTCAAGAGCAGAGGGGGATCAGTTGGTTTTAGGGGCACGCTAAGGGGTGACTAACTGTCTCATGGCATACAGGACATACGATGGGTATATCGGATCTAAAATGTGCCGGTATTACTCAACTGACTTTATTGCGTGGCGACGCCACATAAGTGATTTCACTTTTCAATAAACACGGTTAATTTTCTCATATTAAGTTATTATTGAACTTAACTTTATTTCATTGAAATTCATAAATAAATAAACGTCGAAGCCATCTACCACACAACGCGGCGCAAAAGTCATATCTGACATTGGTTTGACACATAGCTCAATTTTTCTCTTCAATTACTTTTCTTTCAAACACGTATTTAATAATTTTTCTGTTCAATTTTAAAGACAATAAGTAAAATAAAATAATTTAAAATTCAGAGATGAGTTTTATTCCAGCCTTCTTGATAATTGTAAAATGATTCATATCTCTCTCTTCCCCGAAATGTGCCTTAATAAAAATTAAAAGTGTAAAGCAAGCACCAAATTTTAACAAGTAACTAGACTCTTCAAGCAATCTTGGACAAGAATATCACTTTCTCACAACAAAGCAGAAAATCAGCATATTCATCGTTTTGGTTATTGGTTCAAATGTGGTTGGAAATTTAATGCTATCTGGGTATTATCTCTTCCCTTCTGGTGGCTAATTCCTACTGACTTTTCTAACCGAACACAACTAAATGTAGAAAAAGGAAGAATAACAATATATTATTTATGTTTTGGCTATCTCTTATCCTTAATAGCTCATTTAAATTGTAATCATTGTTAGCTGGTTGTTTGTTGCTATTAAACATATTCTTAATCAATATAAAGATAAATATGATATGTGCATAAGTGAACACCATAATGAGTAACAACGGACAATGGATGACATCACTTCCAGACAATCTACGGAGTATTCCGGTCATCAATCTTGCGATACCTGGTAGGAATCTACAATTTTTAATTAGTGGATATTAATTTACACTTACATTTTATAAATAAAAGGTTCCCATGACACAATGACTTATGGAATAAAATCAAGAGCGAAACCTGCTCCCGATGCCGACCGTTCAACAATATGGTTGAATTTTTGTTTTCCTTGGTGTGTCCGCCGCTGGGCAAAGACACAATCCTCTTCTGTATTGGATCAGTTATTGTTAGGAATTCGTTATTTTGATTTGCGTGTTTGTCAAAAAAATGATAAATATTATTTCGCTCATGGCCTTTTTGCTATGGAAATATTTGAACCTCTAGAGGAGCTAAAACGTTATTTGCTTTCACACAGAGGCGAAATATGCATATTGGATTTTCAGCATTTTTACGAGATGGATGAAACACATCACAAACAATTACAAAACCGTTTGCTGATGTTATTTGATTCAATGTTGTACGCAAAATCTGATGGTAATTTGAGCGAGTTTACATTAAACAGAAGTAGTGCTCTCGGCAGACAAGTATTTTTAATTTATCGACGGTGTCCTTTACCTTTGCCAAATGAATTTTGGCCAAGCAATAGTTGGCCGACTCCATGGCCAAATGTAACTTCAATTAAAAAACTTGAGATCTATCTTCAAAAATCATTACTGACCAGACAACCTTCACAGGGTTTTGTATCTCAGTGTATACTAACCCCATCGGGAAAATACATAACGCTCAGGTGATAACTTGAATTACATACTGATTATGTAAGACTAATGAAAAATGTTTTAGATTTTTTTCCTCTCTACGTAAAACAGCTAAAAAAGTAAACAGTAAATTAAAACCTTGGATTGAAGAACAATTGCCCGGGCCATTTGAGGAAAATGAACCTCCAAAGGCGAATGTGTTTATTGTCGATTTCGCAAGTTTAAATAATGGAGAGTTCTGCAATACAGTTATAGGCCTTAATTATAAAATCAATAACCCCTCAATGAGTGGAGATGCTTACAATAATTTTTAATTTTTTTTTTGCATAATACGCATAGTATAAATCTATTTAGCACTTCTAGAACCAACAGTAAAATATTTATTTAATCCTCGGCACAATATTCAATGTAGTGAAGGAAACTAAAAAATGTTTCTATTATTGATTAGCTATGAGCAAATCTTCCAATCGTAACGCACTAAGTAATAACACTATATATGTATGTATTTGTAAATATGATATATTGTTTTATTGTAAACTCTTAGAATAGTATTGTCTATTTAAATATGTATAATACATAACTATTTTACTAATGGATACAAAAAATGCATGCGTAACATTAATCTATTAGAAAGCGTACAGCCTTTTGCATTTTAGATTTCGTCATTTCACTGCCATCAATTAGATCCCCTTGAGCAAGGTAGGAATGCATTTCTTGCATAACTTTCTCTAATTCAATTAGCGATTCTCTAACACGTTTTTGTTGTTCTTCTGCGTCATTGTTTGGTATATTTTCTCGCTCTCTGCTAAAGCGATTGCAAAGCAATTTTAATCGAGCAGCAGAATGTTCCATATCCCGTAGCTGCTCCAATGCCAATGCGACGAAATTAAAGCCTTCGCGATTGGTGTCCGATAAAGCAGTTTTATTCGACTTCTCTGAGGTATTTGGTGTATGAGTAGATGCAACGTCACAACAATCGTCATAATTTAAAACTTTTTTTGTTATGTATCTTCCCGACAACGTAGACTGAGGGAAACATTCACATTTAGTTAAGGACGCTGCGTTGATAGGCGAAGATGAATTTAAAGATGTATTAAACAATTGCATTTTTTTCAGTGGCTTGTTTAATAAGACACCTTTCACAACATTGAGATTTAAGGAAATTCTACTTGAATTCAAGGAATCGTTTAATGTTGTACATTCATCATTGTCCATTGGTTCCCAATTGATGTCTACACAATTGAATATGCTTTCACAATTTAAACTTTCATTACTGCGCACCATATCGAGCCAGACGCTAAGTCTTGCAATAGGCCATTCAGCTTTACGATTAAGTGACTTATCATGTAAAACAACAACCGTGTGAAATATGCCAAATTCGTCAAGTACTTGTGAGTGGCGAAACTCTATTTGCAATCCCAAATTACGGCAATGTTGTGTTGCTTCTTTTACCTATAAATACATAAGTATAATTTTAATGCGTAAGTAATATATTTTTTATTTATTGTAGTAAACTTTCTACATATTTATATATGTACATATATCATTTTTATAAAAGAAGTATTTGCAACTAATAAATGAATTAAGGCTGATGAATGGGAGTTAAGAATTTTGAATTTGTATATAATGATGAAGTTGGTGATGTTGTTGTTGTTGTAACCGCAAAAATATTTCCCAAAGTACTTTTTGAGGAATGTTGCGGGAGTGACAGTCCTTGGCCGAATAAAAATTCGGGTCGTTCCGGTATAAAGACCCGACTGTCGCGAGAACAATTGGATTTTAGTCGGCTCTTACGGCAGGCATGCCTTACCGCAGGTAAATTCTTGAACCCCTAACCCCTAGGTGTTAAGAAGTTGGTGATAAAGCTAACTGAATACATTTCCAAGAGAAGACGAAGTTTGAACAGGTCCTAAGATAAGTTCCAAAAAAAAAATTATCGCGAATGAATTTCCTGGCTGGAATACCCTCGGATGGATTGACATCCATGCCGGACGTCGGTCGCAATTCGGAAAATTAACTGAACTTTTTTATTTCAATTAAATTTCTATAATGTTTGATGCTGATCGGAACAAGACTCGAGCCCCAGCCTGTAGTCCGGCCTGCTAACCACTCTAGTATTGCCGTAGTATAGTACGGCGTTTACCCCTGCGGGTTAGGGGCTTAAGAATTTACCCGTGGTAAGGCATGCCTGTCGTAAGAGGCGACTAAAATCCAATAGTTCCCGCGACAGTCGGGTCTTTATACCGGAACGACCCGGATTTTTATCCGGCCAAGGACTGTCACTCCCGCAATATTCCCCGAAAACCAATTCGGGGAATAATTTGCGGTTACAACAACAACAACAGTACGGCATTTATTTCATAATTACTTAATATCGCTATTTAGCAATGAATCGTTGGAAAGAAATAATAAAAATTAGAACATAATTATTTTTAATGGACATACATACCATTAGTTGAGTTTTGTGAAGACTCTTTTCGCTCGGATTTTGCATGATATTATTGATATCATTAAGTAAATTTGATTTAAATGTAGGCGTATAAATTGAGTCGACATCCGTTTTGTCTTTGCGAATTTGCGCTTCTTTTTGAAATGCTATTCGCTCCGTTTCAAGTATTTCCCTATTACATTTATACTTTAATTGTTCCAATTCAAGTTTCTGCATGCGCTCATTAAAATCGCGTTCATTCTCCGCTCGTTCGAGTTCTATGCGCGATAAAGCAATACGTTTTTCCTCCTCTAATTCACGGCGAAGTTTCTCTTCCTGTTTATGTAATATTTCTTGGTGTGCCATCTGAAAATCAACCACCTGTTCAATTCAAATAAATTAGGACCATTTTTGGAAATTTAAAGTAAAAACTTATTATTAAAAAAAATTTATAATTTCATAAAAAAATCTAAATACACGTATTTATTATAAAAAAGCGTAAGTGTTATGTACATATTTATATATCGAGTTGAAAAAAAAACATCTTATTATTAATAAAAATGAAATTGCCTTCCAAATCTTGTGGTTTGACAACATATCATATTCTAAATAAATAAGTCAATAAGTCAATCAAGCATGGACATTTACATAAGTGTTGTTCGTTGAATGGATTACCAAACTTTACTGGACCGTGTAATGGATGGTAAAATTTGATATAGTAAAAACTAGCAAGTATAAAAAACAGCTGATTTGTTGACCACAAAACAAAATTGATTTAAAATTAAAATAATTTTAATTCTTTAATATGAAATATATACCAACAAAATAAGTGGTTAATTGTATAATTGTTGAATTTAACTTAACAATATCAATGATTCCAACAATAGTAAAGGCACTCGTTAAAGGAAAATGTGGTGGCAGTGGAGTGGAATCATCGCCCGCATACCACCCAGCTTCCGTTAAGAAATTGGATGTTGGGAAGGCATAGAATTAGAATATAATACAATATTATTTCTATCGAGTACAACGGTTGATTTTAGATTTCTATAGTTTACCAGAAAACTGTGGCGACCAAAGGAGACGCATAATAAATTCGAAGGGAAGCATTGATGCTGCTCCTAATTATGCATAATGCGTTCTCAAACTTCCGGAAGCGACGATGCACAAAATGTAGCATTTAGAAGGAAAAAAAAGCTATTGCTTGGTTTTTATTTAAACAGAATCGAATAGAATCTGTAATAATGTTGAGCCGATTACACGAAAAAAGAGTTTCAAGCCTATTTTCGTATTTCAGTAAATCTTACTGAAACTCAAAGCGACAAATTGCTATAGAGTATATAGAATTTCATCACTGTTGAAATTAAATAAATTTTGAAAACAATTAATAACTTAAAAATGTCACATAATTGCCAGTTTTATAAAAACATTTAGGAAAATACTTAAAACCAGAAAGAACAAACTTTATAAATGAACAAATTCAAAACTAACCGTCAAAATAAACAGCTGTTATACAATTTGCTGACTAATTTTTACTAGATCCTTTTTCGTTGAAAACTCAGTAAATTTCTTACTTTCGGAGAGTATAACATCTTACTCACTTACTTGCTGGTTTTTACTGACATTTCTCAACGAACACCGCTATAATGTGATATTCTTAAATGTATTGTATGTATATTCTGATTATGTAAATTAACAAGTAGGTAAGTAAGTTTAATAATTATCTGTAATAACATCATACAGATTTTATTGTAAATACCACGTAATCCAAACTAAACTTACCACGTTTTTACTATGCTTTGAACAAAATGGATTTGATACTCGAAAGTAATGTGTGCCACCGATTACCAAACGATCTCCATGGAACATTTTCTGTCTTTTTGTTACAAGATCCCCATTCAAATATGTTTCAAAATCTTCATTCTGTGGTGTTATATACAGCTCCCCGTTATCGTTTTCGATTATGCTAATAAATAAAATAATATTGAATTATTCATGTATAAGGCTATATTTGAAAAGCATATACCAATGATGGTAGGCGACTAATGGTCCATCGAGTAATATGTCCGGTTGACTACAATACGTTGATGTGCGTGTACGACCGATTTTTACTTGTCCTTGCGGTAGAATATAAAATAGGGTATTACTCAATATTGCATCAGCAGTCAAGTTCACGAGACACGCATGCTTTTGATCGGTAGATAATTCCAATGCCAATCCTTTTCGACGAAGGAATCGCAACTCTGTTTTTCTTTGTTCCTCTGCTTCTTTTACGCGTTGCATCCATGATTTTTGCGCCCTCTCAAGTTCCCTTTCACGATCAGCTAATTGTTGACGTAAGGCCTCAACCTCACAGTCGTCAACTGAAGTTTCGATAATAATTTTTCTTGGAGTCGGATTATTATTGCCTGACAGACGACGTTGGCGTTCATATTCATTTCTCAGTGATTTAAGGCGGTCGACTTCTGCTCGTAATTCCCGTATTATCTTGTCATGAGGTGATTCATTCACTTTCACGCGATTTACTATTGTACGAGCCTGACAAGCATAACGTAATGTGGCTAAAGTCTCATCGATATTCACATTAGCTGGAGATATGGTAGCAAGCATAACTGTTTTCGAATTACCGCCAAGGTTTTCCTGAAAAAAAAAAATATATATATATATAATCAAACATTAAAATTATAGTTTAGAGATAAAATTGGGGATATATGTATGTACACATACATATGTATATAGACAAGAATAAATAAATCCAAACCGGTGACCGAAAACCAGACCGAAAACCAGTAACAGTCTGGACTGACCTGAACCCGAGACCGATCGCGGAAGGTCGCGGTTACGCTTGCCTCTTACACTAAACAGCTACAGATTTGTTCATCAGCTGCTATTAAATTGCATGGGGAAAAGAAAAGGGAATTTCTTTAATTATATAAAGCACTTGGTAAGTAGATTTTGATACAGAAAAGCGAGTCAAAGGAATCAATGTTAGGGAAAAGTGTATTAAAATCGTTACACAAAGATCTAAAAGGGCCACGCATTTCAAAGTTTGTTCTCCACGAGCCCAATGAAAGGGGCATAAAGTGTCTAGAGGATCTTAAAGGGATAGTAAAGTTAAGCTCGCTAATTTGGAAAGAGCTATTGATGGCACCTCTTATCAATTTAGTTAAAAATAAAACTCCAAGCATCTTTCTACGACTATGGAGTATAGGCAGATTCATGAGCGGTAAACGACTTTTGAAAGAAGGCAGGTTCTTGTTGGCATCCCAGTTAAAATTCTTAACGCGAATAATAATGAATAATTGCCTTTGTACAGAGTACAATTTATCACTATACAATTGATAGTAAGGACTCCATACGACTGAGCCATATTCCAAAATGGGCCTAACAAATGAGGTAAAGAGTAATTTGGTTATGTATTGGTCCTTGAATTCCTTAGCCCAACGTTTAATGAAAGCTAAAACTCCTTTTGCCTTCTTAGCACATGATTAGCATATGATTTCTAAAATCTAGCTCAGGGTCCAGTAAAGTCAGTAACTTGTTCATTTGCCAAAGCTTTGTATCTTCAATAGAATGAACTGATTTAAAGAGCTTGACATCATCTGCGTACATGAGTATTTTAGAATGAAGAACAACATTTGGAAGGTCATTGATGAATATAAGGGAGAGTAAGGGACCGAGATAACTGCCTTGAGGAACACCAGATGTTACTGCTTATTCACGTGATGTACAATTTTTAAAAATTACTTTTTGTTTTCCACCAATCAAGTACGACGAAATCCACTTAAGAAGAGAAGGTGGAAACCCGAAATGATCGAGTTTAAAGTGAAGTAAAGGATGAGAGACCTTGTCAAATGCTTTGCTGAAGTCAGTGTAGATCACATACGTTTGATACCATTTTTGAAACCATTACTGACATGGGTGGTGAATTTTCGATAGGGTAGACTTACCTTTGCAAAACCCATGTTGTGAGATGTCTATAATTGATGACACTGAATGGGCTAGTTATTCAATTATATTAGCTTCGAAAATTTTAGTGGTAGAACATAACTTTCCTATCCCCCCGTAATTCCCTATTGAAGATCTACTACCTGATTTATGTAGAGGTACAATGTATGACTTTTTCCACAAAGAAAAGAATAAATTTTGCTTTAATGAAGCATTGAATATGTTCGTCAATGGTATATATAGAGATTCAGCACAAAATTTAAGTACACTATATTATCTGGACCGCATGTGAATGAGCTCTTAAGGGCATTAAGATGGTGATAAACAACATCAGCGGATATATGTGGAAATTTTACGCAATCAAAAAAAAAAGGCATTAAGTAAGGGTAAATGAATAGCTGCAGTGTTGAATTTGTGTTCGGCACATAATTAGATTCGAAAAAGGCTGCCAACATATCTGCAATTCTGTAACGATCGTTAGAGACTTCAACATTCATTTTCATAGATAATGGAAACCCCGAAAGTCTTACGTTTCTAATTAACAAAACTATAAAATGATTTCGGATTCGAAGTAATGTTATTTGGAATTCTTGTCATATACTTCTTGTAACACGACTTATTCAAAATGTTATACTTTTGTCTAACTACGGAATAAGTATCATAATCAGAAATTTAGCCGGACTTTTTATAGAGCTTGAATAATCTAGTCTTCTTATTTTTCAAGCTATTCAATTCTTTATTAAACCATAAAGCCTTTTGAGCACGGATCGGCTCATTGGTTATAGGAACAAATTTTCTGAGGGCAGAATGTAGTGCTTGTGAAGTGAAGAACGATTTCTTCCACTTTTCCGTCATACATTGGCCAGGAAATTGTAGACAGCGCATTTCTAAGATTAATATAATTTGCCTTTTTAAATAAAAAACGAGAATTTTCCGACTTTGAAGTAGATAATAAATAATTAAGATTAGAGGGAACATCTGTAGATAATTCAAGAGATGGATGATAACCATCTTCGGGCTAAACGAAAGCATCACAACGACTTAAAGAAAATGACGAGACGTCATCCAAAAAATTAGATACAGAGTCCTTCCAGACTTATTATGGATCATATTTATTTGAAAAAGGCCCAGATCAGAAAGCTCATTTAGGAAATCATGAGCATTATCTCGAGTTGAGCTAGGTACTAGTAAACTTTCACTAAAATTCCATGATACACGGCGTGAATTGAAGTCGCCTATCACAACATCTGACAATGTAGATGTTTTATTGTAATTGAAAATAATGATTTTAATCTTGACGACAGAAGATAGTAAGTAGAAAAGTCAGAATTTGGCGGGATATAGCTGACGACAATATAAATATTTTTATTAATTAAACGTATTTTAACACAAAGGAATTCCATCGCTTCCGATTTCGCAAAATGAAATTCTTCCGCAGCAAGGTCAGTTTGAACACCAATAAGTACTCCACCACCAATTTTATTTAAGCCGTCATCTCTAAAAACTTCAAAGTTGTTTCCTAAGATTTCAGAGTTGAAGACATTTGGTTTAAGTTTCAAGAGAAAACCAAAATTTTATAGGCGCAGTTTAAACTGTGTAAATATAAGTCTTTCAGCTTAGTGTTCAAACCTCTTACGTTTTGATAGTAAATATTCAAGTTAATATCTGTTAACAGTTTTTTGGCTCAGAGGAGGCTATAGGTAATTGAGCAAGATTGTTACTAATCTTTCTTTGCTTTAATTCGAACGCTCGGACAAAAGCACCATTCGGCCAAAATGATGAGTTCAAAAGTACGTCGAAGCAATCAGCGGAGACGTCTATTTTAAAGACGTTAATGAGTATTTCATTTGATCTTGTATCTTTTAATACGTTTTAGGTAATGTTAAAAGAGAAAACACTTTCTTTACAAAATTTGGACTACGATTCTTTCACATTACTACAATCAATCCTTGGCCTCTAACTACTGCTTCACATACAAACAGTATGTGAAATGTTATCTCTGGTAATAGCTCAATGAAACGGTTAAAGCTGGGTAAAATTCTTTGTTCTGTTAGTATTTTAAACTTATTCTTACTAAGTAATATGATGTCTCTCTAAATCTGTTGGTATTGTACCCGCCGTTAATCTTTTCAACCGTCTTATACCGTCACTACTGTACCAATACCTGATTCTAATTCTTATTTCCTCATTTCTTAACCCTTCTTAATTGTATGAAAACCTATAGGGAAGAAGGGATCTGGTCCTATAGGCAAGATTGAAGCTGCTTCCCTCCTAACTTTATTTTCTGCTTCATTCTTTTCAATACCTATACGTACCAGACCTCAGATGATTCCTTCATCCACTTCGATTAAGCTCCTGGCAAATTCGCATACCATATATTATATAATCATTGCAAATTACTTACTATATGTTATTCAAACGTCTTTCTTTTGATTATGACATCTGGGTATGAAGTGATAGCGCATACATCTGTTTGGAAGATGCTAGAGTATTTGCTAATAGGTATAGATAACCCCCTTTTGAAGCCCGTAATATCCGCACCAATTGCTTCTGCAATCTTTGGTTTTATATTTTGCTTTATCTGGGTCTGATTCCATAATATTTATCCACCTAAGGCTATACTGATTTAAAAAAACGAAACTTTTCTGAAAATTGCAAAATTTTGTGGTTAGCTGTAAAGTCAAGGAGAGCTTCTGACGCAACTGTAGGACACGCTCTCATGCATATTTTATGCAGACGCACGCTAGTCTTTGAAATTTGCATGAGTTTAACTTAGTTCTTTCTGACTAAGAATAATATATTGTACATCCGGTGTTTGCAAAGTCGTTCGCTCCCAGCCGAGAGGCGTCTGCAATTCAAAACTGTAACTTAATTTTTGATTTAAAGTAATTTTCTACAACTTTTGGATGTTAGTCGTACCAGAATCAGGATAGGAAATAACACAAACTTTTGTATATCGTGACTGGTAATGTTGATGGATTTTTAAAGATCTCTATATCTATAAGATAACAAAGCTACATATATATACCAAAAGCATAAGTGAGTTCCCTTAGTTTTTCAACAGTTTCGAATATCATGTCTAGAGTAAATATTTATAAACAAAAGGGAAGAACTCTGCATATAGAATTACTAAAGAGACTTTTGATGATGTTGATTACTTTTTTCATGGACTCGTCTTGAATCAAGTGCTAATCATATTCATTCTTTAGTCAAAGCATCGAAAGCCTTTTCAAGGTCTAAAAACGCAATATACTTATGTACAATAAAGAGTTTAGTTCCAAAATACATTGAAAAGGTCATTCAGAAAATTTTGAAATCTTCAGGTGTGACGACGTTTGTTTCGATATTTATTACTTTTAAACTTATTCCTTCATTTACAAACATGTGCTAATGTCTGATATAGTATATTTATACAAATATACATAGATATAAAGCGTTGCAGAAGTCATTAGCTTTTCCAGTACACCTTTGATTAATCAGTCATTCCCGCCGTCGTAAGAAAACAATTTACATATGTACACATTTACACGTAAGTATATACATATATATGTACATTTATACACAAATATATGAGCAAATATATATGTATGTATGTATGTATAAACAACATTTTTACCTTCACAGCGCGCTACCCCGAGTTACTCACGTACACCACTTTTCCTCTCTCTTTTTAGCCATTAAACTGAAGACACATCAAATACATGAAATACATACGATTCACAAAGAGAGAGAGAGAAATTGCATTAATTTCGCCTCCACTTGTATGGTCGGCCGATGGAGGTATACAGTTGTAGTGGAAAAAAACAACAAGAGACTAGCCAACGCAAAGTGAACGCCACGCAAATATTACTACAACAAACAAAGCAACAAAATCAGTCACCAGTCCATATACAAATAACAACGGCGTATCTATAAAAGTTCTCGTACATATTTATTCGCATACATACATATTATATGTATGGAAAGCGACAAGTTAAAAAACAGCAGTGAGCCATATTAGCGGTCGAGCCAAAACATTTTAGTTCAGTTTCTTGTGAGAATTCAACCGACAATAATGTATATTTTTACAATTTTTAGCATTTTTGCACACAACAACTATACCGTTTGTATTTAACGAATGTGGTATTAAGAGCAAACAATTTTTTCATAAACAAGTTTAATACAGTGTGAATGTACGCATTATCCAAAGAAATAACTACATAATTATATTATATATACGAACATACTTAATACATGCGCATAGTAAGCACATTTACAAAAGTCAACAAACGCCCTGGACAAACACGTTGATTAATACATGTGTACAAATATATTAAAGGTCTGATTAATGACATTATATAGTTTTGATACCAAGTTTATATGTATGCCTACAAAATAACAAATGTGAAGACAAAATTTACAAGACGTTCAGTATCAAAGGCAGCTACATATTTAAGCTAATATTGAAGAAGTAATAAGGAAAAAATCTGTATTTTCTTCGATTGAAGAAATAAATATAAAACATCGATATAAACTACAATATAACGAAAACGTACAAGTGCCCACAGTGTTCAAGTGAAGCAGCCAAATCGTTAAAATCGGAAACATCTAAAAATCGAGTGCACGAAGCTTTCTTTGTATTAGTTTTTGTTTTGTTTTTACCATGGATGTGTGGGGTGTTTTTGTTGGTGACTCAACTATGTCGTATGGTGGGTCAGTACGCCACACCTACTATCGTGACTATGAGCAGTTTCCTTATGGTACCTTGGAGCATAGTTCTAGTCCACCATCAAAGGATTGCTACAGCAAGGTTCAAGGTAGGTTACATTATAAATATTTATATTTATGTACATATGTGTAAATATATATATATATATATAGCTTTGTATGTACAAATTTAAGTATATATACATATATTGGTTAATGTTGATTATAAGATTTTTATACTCGTTTGAACCTACATCCACTCGCTTAAGCTTTTTAAGCTAAGGTACTATTAAGCTTTACGTGAAAAAATTAAGAGAACAATGTGCATATATGTCTTACCAGTCATTTCTTAAGAAAAGTGGAGTAAGTGTGCTAAAAAACAATATAGAGACGTGCGAATAATCATTACACACACATATGTATGTATATCGAACTACAAGCAGATTTTAGGTATAGTTTTTAATGGAATTAATTTATAGTAAAAAACCAAATAATGTATATGCATATGCAAAATGAACTCATCAATGTACTATTTTGTATAAAGAAATCCTCATGTTTACGGGGCATCTATTCAGATATCATATGCCTACTACATAGCGTATAAACGCATGCTTTTGTATGAATACACATACATACACATGTAAGCATGCACTTGTTTAATTGTAAACGCATAAAAGTGCAAACCATGTAGAGAAATACTGAAGTAATTTCGCGTGTATGTATGTAAATACACATTTTAGAGATATTTCAGCAGATATAATTTGAAGATAGAGCAACGAAGTAATTTGGTTAATAAATAGTGTTTTATATTGAACTTTTTTCAAAATATTACTACTTTCATTATAAATTATTTTTAAATATATTAAAACACTAACTAATTCAATTTTCAGATATGAAATGCAACAATTGCCTCTTCCTTTAATATAGTTTTCACTAACTTTTCTAGCCGATCCGAATAAACGTTTCGAAGATAGAGCTTTGGAATGGTGCGCTTTTAGAAAGCAATTTTAATGAAACTGTTTTCAAAGCTGGTTGTTAAAAGTGCTCGAAAACTACATTGATGACATTTTCGAAATCCTTTGATTTGCAAATCACGAAGAATTGAACGAAGGACTGTTTTCGTTTGTTTATTTACAACTATTAAATTTTATCAAAATTTTGCCAAAAAAAAAATTCCATAAATTCAATTTTCACTTTTCATTATTTTTCTTCGTTCAAATTTTAATTATAATTAACTAAAACACGATTGTTTTATTTTTTCGCTTCGTATGATTCTGTCATGAGTTCTATGTCAATGCAGACGCACCATAATTTTTAGACGTCACTTGAAATGACGACACCATGCCGGGAGTTATAAATATTTTCCAGTGAAAATATGAAAATTAAAATGGAATGAAGAATTTATGTTAGGACAGTAAAAAGTTTGAATAAAATATTTTATATCAATTTTTTTAAATAATCCAAAAAAAGTAACTCTTAAATTATTACTTTCGAAAAGTTCGTAACTAGTTTACTTGACTACAGAGTATTGCGACTTGTTTATGAGCACGCAATATAATTGTTACATACACGTATGTGTGTAGTTATTTACGTAAATACACTTACACATATATATTTGTTTTTTCTTATTTAATCTACATCTTGAGTTATACAAAACCAAGAAAAAAACTTAACTTTAGAGATATAAGTGATATTTTTATCGCATTTTTTAGCTGAGTATATATCATACATATATACATACATATGTTTTTGTAGGTTTTTATTCCAACAACGCAATACCACCCGAAAAAAGAATCAAAAAATAAAAAATATGTAACATATTTACATACATACATACATAGTATGTATGCATAGTCTTAAAAGTATTACAACCTGTTAATTTGCTAAGAGCAAATGTGTAACTACATTTATTTATGGAAATAACTATAAATATTATATAAGTAAGTGAGTATGCAAATGCCTTCATTTATGTAAATTTTATTTTTCTGAAAAGTAAACAACATCTGGCATACATTTTTATAAAGGCGACTATATTCATTTTTAATTATCATAATATATACATACACGTATGTACATATATTACTTACATATTATAATACTTGCGTCTATTAGCACAATTAGAAATTAAACCTCCCTTGTGCACAGTTTTGCCTCCAATGTATTGTTCCTATTTTTTTTTAATAATAATTTAAAATGGATAAGTATTAAAAATTTTGATATTTGCTTGTTTAAAAGCTTATTTGTGATACAACGCTGAATGTCATATTCAGGGTCAACCAGATATACTATGAATATGAGCAAACAAACTGGCGTTTGAATGGAAATCGCCTTAACTAAAAAATAAAAAAAAAAACATTTTCTAGAAGAAGTAAACTAACATTTTTTTATATGCAAAAATTTTTTTTTAAGATTTAAATATTATTATGTGTAGTTAAGAATTTTTCGAACGTGTGATTAAATCATTTGACTATAGGTACATATGTTTTAATTGCACTAAACTTTTTTCTTAAAAAGATATTGAGCTTTTTACCCTTCATCCAAGCGATTTCCATTTTATTTATTTATTCAAACACACAACCAGAAGTTATTTTACAGTGATAAAAATTAATTGTAATAGCTTAAAACATAACATAATATTAACATCTTAATTATAACATTTAAATTGTCATTTTCTCTCTAAATAATAATAATAACTTTAAGGGTTATGGATTTTTTTCTTTTAAAGAAATAGTATTTTGAAGATTTGAAATATAAGAATGGGCGCCCAGATTAGCGATTAATTGATTATACAAAGTGATGTAGGAGTTCGCTTCTAAAATGCAACGTACTTCGTATGCCTTTGATCCTTTGTGGCAGAGCGTTCCAAAGACGGAGAGCAAAAACAAAGAACCGACGTTCAGATAACAGGCAAATGTATTTCATGCTAAGCTATCATACATAATACATAAATTCACATACATATATCCATACGTATGAATACACAAACAGGAAATTCGCAATCATTTAATTAAAAAAAAAATTATAATCTAATTGAATCTATAATGCTAAACAGTGGTTGATTGCAAACGAAAGTGGGTGGTACACATTGAAAGCTTTTATGTATGCAATTTTATGTAATATGTACAGGGTTCGCCACGTATCTTTTTTTTTTTTTTAAATGTAATAAAACAAATGCCCATTCGGCAAAGGCAAACCGCATCGGATGGTCTCGTGGCTTCAATCCTTGAACCAATTGAACTTTGCATGGTCTTTTTTCAAAATTCGCCTAAGGGACGTCTCGGAAATGTCCAATTGTTGAGAGCGACGCTTCACTGATGTTCCGGGCGCCTCATGCACACTCTGGGCCACAGCAGCGATATTACCGGAAGTACGCACTTTTTTTTGGTTTCTCACGCGTTGGTTTACAAATAATTGTGCCGGTTTCTCTCGGTGCTTTGTTACGGCTCATTTCCGTGCGTAATTTTCGCACACATTTTCAAAGTAAAACTGCACCATTTTAACGCGTTCCTCAATCGTATAGACAACCATTTTCGTTCAGCGGAAGGATAAAACTAACTTTCTGTCAAATCGAATGTAACATCAGTGTTACCACACTCACTAGTTCAAAAAAAAAAAAGGTCAGATGGCGGACCCTGTATATGATATACTCGTAACAATTTATAAAATCGGCAAGAGTCCATATGTATGTATTTGAAAGTTTTCCAGTACGTTTCAGCTTTACTACAATGCTTACAAACTTTGCATTCGAAAATTTCTTATTTACATTAAATGCAACGATTTTCCTTAAAATGTACATACAACCATACACAATAAGTATTTTTATTTCAAGATAATTCAACGTAAATTCCAGCAAAATACGTCGTGTACGTTTAGTTTCACATATAATTATGTACATACATATGTACATTAAGACCAGAAAGTGTCCAGAAATTGTCATTTAAACTACCCGCGCTGAATATTTTTCAGCCCTTGGTTTTTTGTTAAGTCGATAGCAATGTCCTTAATTACTATGCCAAAAATGAGCTCGATCTGTCAACCAGTTTGCAGCAGCTGTTGAAATCGGTCGACCACAGCTCCCTCTGCTAATTTTCTTTTGTGGCCTCAATCGAATCGAAATGGGTGGTAGCTTGAGTTTTAGAAACAAAAAAAGGAGCATATGGGCCCAAATCCAGCTGGCCCACAATTACGACGTATGTTTTTGCGACCGTCTGGCCCGTTGGAACGAGTTCATAATGGATCAAACCGCGAATATCGAAAAAAACAATTTCCAGAAACTTTCTGGTCTTAATGTATGTATGTTTCCATGTACTTGTAAAAACAAGTAACAATCTGGACAACATGAAAGATCATTGCATCAGACATATCCCGATGATTCCGAATTTCCTCATGAATAGATTTTTTATTTGCAAATCCATATGAGAAATCGAGCAAGAATTGAAATTTCCGACGCTGCAACCGAGTGAGTAGAAATAAGTTTTAGTGCAAAAAAGATCTTGAACTAGATCCCAGGACAGATCGGTATCGAACATATTATAGAAATTTCCGTTAATTGCAACATACAATATACTCCAAGAGCAAGTGATCTGGTATAATCTTGTCTTTCAAATACTAGTTCAGAAGTAGAATTTTTATTGTACAGAATAGTAATTTTTTATTGCTGGGTAATATTGAAAAATATATGTAGATACTTAAAAACCAAGAAATATATATGCACATATGAATGTACGAGGGAAGTAACAAAAGTTCGGTTAGTTGTCCAGAAAAAAAAAAAAAATTCTATTTGTATTTATTGGCAATCTTTTTCTTTTTTTCTCTTCTCTACATAATTCTTTACCGTTCGGGGAATATAGAGCTGGACGTATTTATTAGATCCCAGAGATCGCAATAAAATTACTTGTAATTTCAGCCGTGTGGGATGACACGTTCTCATGATGTAAAAAGTAGCACCGTAAATCATATTTTTTTCCGTTTTCCAACAAATTTTTGAAAACTTTTGGTAATCACTCTTTGGTGCACTATTTTGCAGTTAGCATTTGACTCTTTTCCAGTGGAAAAGCAGCACCGCTTTTAGATCGGGTGAAATAAACTAACATTGTTACTTCGCTGCTGA